CTCTGTTGTGAAAAAGGATGGTTGAAAAGAAAACACAAGTAACTCAAGGCGCTGAGTCGACCTAGCAAACTTGAGGCAGTTCTTGTGGCCTGTCAGGTTTAACCGTCGACCAGCCCACACGATGTTAGAGGAATGTCGTACCAGGGATTTTGGCAGCAGTTGGCTCAAACCAAATTGTCGGGCCACCAAATTAGGATGGTAGTTCATGAACCCATAGCCTGTGTTCCTCGTCTCAATTCGAAACGACAACATGGTGGGAGTCAGAAACGCCCTCCATATGGAATTCGACATTGCTGTCGTTTTTGGGGAAGCACTAGGAAAGGAGTTTCTAAACTATGACAGATCAAATTGTCGATGTACAAAAGGAGCCATGCCAAGAACGAAGGTGGTTGCTTCTACAAACATGGTGTGGTATTTCATTAATAGAGTTTTGTTAGAGGTTTCTTGCATAGTCATCAAGGCGAGTCGAACGTCTTCTATAGGACAATCATTATTCAGACGCTGCATTGTTGCAGACAAGGGATATCCCAGCTGATGCTCGAATGTGGCGTTAAGCCAATGCTGTAACAACCACATAGGCTCTGAAACGTTCAAGGCATTGGTGGTTTCATGAAGGAGTTTTATTCTCAAGGCCGACAGACCAAGAGAATGATAGAGAGAGGATAGTAGAAACTTACCCAAAGATACTTGTGACCCTCATGTATTTGGATCGCCAAGTTGATATAACTCTTGGCTATTTGTAGAGAGCCAGGACAGAAGAGGTAGTAGGACAACCATAGAGTGAGAAAGGCGATGTGCTCTTCATCCGACACTTTGTTGGAATCTTTATAATGATGGTCCTCTATAAAGTTTTGGAAGCCAACACGCTCGAAGTCGAAGGTGGCGTCCGTCTCCAGGGTCGGATCAAAGGTTTCATCCAGAGAAGAAAGACCCGTGATGGCCGCCACGTCGAAGAGCGTTGGCATCAACATGCCACAGGGGAAATAAAACGTGTTAGTCGACCCTTCCCCAAAAAACATCGACGCCAACAGTAAACAAGGGTTGACCCTATGAGCATTCTTGGAGAGTTGAATGGCGTCGAAGATGCCAGCTGTCTTCCATTGAGCCTGATGTTTGCCCTGGACCTTGTTCAACCAGGAGATGTAATCTTTGTTTCCTAGGGTAGGCATCGACCTAAAAACAGAGGCCTTTGGCGCCATAAACTTTTGGTCGAGGGTACCACCTTTCTGGAAAGCAAGGGGAATGATGGGAAGAAAGCAAGGGAAAAATGCCTGAAGCTCTTCATGGATGGGTTTTTTAGTAGGGTACGACCCATAGAAAGCATACAAATTTCCAACAACCGCAAAAGGGATGATAATCTGGCATTGTCAGGTAGCTACCACCGCGTCATCAACGGACGTCGGATTGGGAAGGGGCCTAAGGGCATCAGCTTTAGAGAGAACAAATGCAATAGGGTTGTTTTCGGTAGTGTGAGTGGTGGAAATGGTTTAGGAAGTCATTGAAAGGGAAGGTCAAAGAAATTTTGAGGGCAAGAGTTTGCAGGAAAGAAGAAGCGTGAGAGAAGTTGGAAAAAGAAAACCAAATATAGAAAGAGGCTATTTATAGGCAAGTTGGCAAGCAGTTGAAAAAACAAGGTGTGGTTCCAATTCTAGAGTAAGTGAGAGTAGTTTAAAACCCATAACATTAGGATGCGACCAGGCATGATTAGATTTCTTGGAAATCGTGGCGCAAAAAGGCTCCATTATCACGTCAGACTATGGATGACGCATGGCTGACTCGACAGAAAAATAATGATGGTATTGTTGGGTCATTACCAAGACGCAGTTGAAACCTTATAGAACCAAAACACCAAGTTCCTCAGTCGACAAAGTGCTCAGTCGAAACTGGGTTTTAAGGGGGCATCTTGTTAGCTGGAAGTTTCGACTAAGGAAAGGCGACACAGAGATTGACTTGTGGGTCGACAGGCTAAGAAAGGTGGTAAAGAAAATGATGTGAGGCGACGCCAGCAGAGGGAGTTTTGTGAGTCGACTTAGACCTATTTCGTCGAAGATGTCGACTGATGGGCAAGGTAGCCGACACGAAGTAGAAGAACGTTTGAGCGGGAAGAAAATTTGAAAAGTTGAGAACATGGGAAGTTACAGAAGTGGTGGAAGGACACGTGGCGCCACCAAGATCAACATAGCAGTTATTTTATTTTTCTATTTAGGCAATGCCAATGTTCATTTTAGGGGACGTATTTTATAACATTGTAAGGGAAAAACACTATGAGTACCAAGTGTTAAGAGAAAAGAGTTTCATTCCTGCAAAATGTATGACCGCGTCCACATTTCCTTTTAATAGCAATTTATATTACCAACTTTAAAGATTTCTTGTCTTTTATTTTTGTCTTTTCTTGTTTATTCATTTGTCTTTACTTAAGTCTACACAGTCTTTCTCAAATTTGTCTTCAACTTATTCTAAACAACATCATTCCACCATCATCTTATATACTCGACCGGTTTATTCTGGGACTTGTTTGGCCGATCTCGCAAGTAAACCTGCGTTAGGAGGTCAGAGGTTGTTCGCGCGAAAAATGTGTGCGAACAGTACTGTCAACTTGATAGATATTCTTCCTTTTTCTCTCATATGCAACGACGATCGTGGGGGTTTCTAAGCATGGCTTCATGTATGAGGCGAGCTCCACTTAGATCGAACAAAGTGAAAACCGATTTTTCTGAATCGTTGTCATATTTCATCTTCAAATTGACTAGAGAGGGCCACTACACCCAATGTCGTGAGGAACAATCTCCCTATGATGCAATTGTAGAACCTTTCACAAATGATCACAAGGAAATGCACGTTCATGATTCTTTCACCATTCCCTTCCTCGAAAGAAACTATCAGCTCGATAGTTCCACATGGAAGAGCGTAGGATCACTGAACGCTAACAGACTCTCGCCTTCATACAACTTCAATCTCGATCGTGTAACCATAATCTCATAAAGGTTCCAATGTACATAAGAATGTAGGAGCTCTTTTCATCAATGAGGATTCCTGATACTTAATTGATCGTTATGGTGGCGGTTACGACCAATGAAAGTGTCACATTATGAGTCTCATCCATTTTCTCGCAGTCTAGAAACCTTAAAATATGTTTGTCATCCTTGTGCCTTTTGTTCGCCATCAGTGAATTGAGGGATCTTCGTGGTGGAGGTTCTTTCTCAATAGAAGATTTGTCGTCAATTAAATCAACAAAGAGGAAAGGGAAAAATCTTGAGGTTGGGAAACATGTGGTTTCTTCAATGGCTAGATTAGGTGTTATCATCTTCTTCAAGTAAGCTTGTTGTAGCAGTTCGTGATTTTGGAATTCGTAGGAATCGAAAGTCGATTCCCACAGACATCATTGTCGTTTTATTAAGGAATACAAAATATATGGTGAATTGATGAAATAAAGTCTTAGTGCGAGGAATCAAGCTTTTGGTATGATGAAGAGGGAATAAATTTGCAATGTTAGCACTCAAAAGTCTAAGTCAGCAAATAAAAAACAAAATAATATAGTAAATTATGGTTAGAACATACCTCGGATCTTGCATGGAATACCTCATATACGAGGAACATTAAAAGATGCCTTATGCATCCCAACGTGAAATGCAGAGAATTGTTAATAATATTCAACAGTAAATAACTAATCGTATGTCACATAGATCAAATACACCTCTCAAAGTCGTTGATGCATTATACCTCAACAACTTTATATTTTTGGACTAATGATTAGATCTCCTTATTATGAGTCGGGTTGACTTGGGACAAAGTTTATATTCTTTACAAGATACCTAATTCATTCCAACAAACAAACAAGATACATGTAAAAAATATGTAAATCCTTTATATATTAAAAGACCATAAATATTTGAGTATTTAATTAAAAACTGAGAAAGTATTAAAATATAATCTCATTTACGATAATACTGATATAGATTTCTTTATGGATTTTTTTTCAATGGAATAGATATGGTCAGAGTTTGTCATGTATCAATAATTTTTTTTTTAAAAAAAAGTGACGCATATAGCACAGTTTTGCGTTTAAATTCCAACGTTGCAAGCAATCGATCTCCTTCTAACCTTAAAAACGCAGAGCACATTTCAACAATTTCACACTCTCCTTCTCGTGGATAAGATCTTAACAATAATATCTGATTCAAAGGGACCCACATCTCAACAACAACCTATTAAGGATCATTTCTGGTTGTGACTCAGAAACCTTTATTTTCTTTGCTTTATTATTATTATTATTGTTATTTCCACATAATTATAATAATTAAATTTCGATTTTTAATTTTGGGGCAAAAGATATTTTGTGGTGAGTGCGGTTTTCATTGTGTTGTTGAGTTTCATTTTACATCGTTAATGCGTTGTGACGTTTTTTGTCGGATTCTTACGATGTTTCTTCTCTCTGTCGTGTTTCGCCGGCTGTTTTTGTCTTGATCTATAGATTGTACAATACAGATTCATTCGCTTTCTGCAAATTTCAATTTTTCTTTCGCAAATTCATGCGATTTTTGTATAATTGAATTGCAGCCACCGATTAGATATGATATGTTCGAGGAGTTTCTAGATTCATCTTCTCTCGTATCCTCTATTTGTCTGTTTTATAATTTGATTGCGTCAAGGTTAGTTTCAAAAAGTATCCTGTTTTTGAGTACAACCTGTTTGTTTTATTGCTTCTGTGAGCTTTGCGTTGTTTGTATATAGATTTATACTCGTTTATTCTTTTACTTTGTTTCATGCCCAGATCTTTTTGAGCTCTTATGTTTGTGAAACTATTTTCCTTTTGTTAGATTCGATTTAATTTTCTACCCCTTTTTGATGGTTGGTTGCCTTAGTTTAGTTCTCTGCATGTCCAGATTTTAACTGAGCGGAATTATTTTTGTTCCTGCAGTGGATTAGTGTTGTTGGTGCAAGTCAATGGTTAAGCTGAAATGAGAGAATTTGAATGAGAAAGAAAATTGAACTGTCTCGCGATGGAGAATTCTTACAAGGCTAATGGAAATGGATCAACTGAAAATGGATACTCTACTGCTAGGCGCACACACTCTTATCATTCCTCATTAAAGGGTTCGTTACCGTGGTTGGATATACGGGTGTTTTATGTAAGAGTTTGCAAGTGTGAGTTTGATAATACCACTCCTGAGGTACTCACTCTTAACCATGTTCCTTTAAATCCTGATACCCTTCTTGAAATTAATGGTGTTCGAAGTAGTATATACTCTGATGGGATGTCAACCCTTCTCAAGAGGGATAGAGTAGATCGAAAATCAGAAGAAGTTACATTTGTAAGCACGGATAGTATAAGGATGAGCGGTAGTGTGAAGTTTGATGTGTTTGATAAAGATAATCTGCTTCTTTTTGGTTCTTTAGAATTATGTAACAGCAATGGTGTTGTTAAAGAATCAAATTCTAATGGACAAGTTTGGAGTATGAAGTGTGAGTCGAACATAGTTCCTGGCACGAGGTTCTTTAAGGAGAAACAATTGTTGTTGCCAGAAACAACCCTTCCAACAATTGAGGTCTACATTGCGGGGTCCTTCTCCGGTACTCCAATCATCTTAACAAAGACATTGCATCTTAGTTCTCAAAAGAGACATTCAAGGAAAGGGATGTTGAATGCAATTCCAGAGAATGATGCAAATGAAAATGGAAAGGATCCTTCTTCTGCACTTGCTTTGCAGGTAATTAGTACTCATTTTATTACATTTTAGGCGTGCTTCTTAAATTCTCCTCTTTAGCTATTTTAAGTCGTCAACCTAGTTAACTCCATGCTCGGTTACTCCTTGTCTGAGTTAGTGATGTCAAATAATGGCGCTATAGCACTATGGCATAACGGAGTTCTATTGTTTGGTGATACACAATTCAGTACACGAGATTGTAGTGGTGCTATAGCACTCTAGTTTAGTGGAATTTGATCAAACATTTATTTTTTTGCGATCTGCGATTGACAATACTGGTCTGACTCTGAATTTGTTTTAACTGGCTCAATGCAGTTTCATTGAGTCTTTTGGAACATGAGATAGTTTAACAGATATAAGTATTTGTGTTTATTAGGAGATGGAACATTATAAAGCTATGATATAACTCTATTATATTTGCTTTCTTTCTGAACTTTTGTTTTCGGTTTTTCCTTTATTTTCTTGCTCAAATCTGTATTGTGTTTGAGAAATAGCTTTTCCCCCTCTCAAGCACTTGCAAATTAACATCACACTCCCTCGAATAGTGTTTGCTGAAGGTGGTTCCCTTGACAAGATGTGCACAATTTATAACTAAACCAATTGGAATTTGAAGAAGATCCTTTTTCCCAACAAATTTACAGATGATCCTTTTTAATATTTATATGTCAATGCTGCAGGGCCCAGATTACATGCAGGATAAACAAGAGGACGAGGATTATCACAGCCTTTACACAAGAACAGCATACGCTGACGGCGAAGATGGCGAACTTTCATGGTTTAACGCTGGTGTTAGGGTTGGCGTTGGTATTGGACTCAGTGTTTGTCTTGGAATTGGCATTGGAGTCGGCATAATGGTTAAAACATATCAAGGTGCCACTGGCCAATTCAGAAGACGGCTACTGTAAACTACTCAAGCTTTCTTCTCTTGATCCAAATAAAACTAACCTTAGCTTTGTTCATCTCCATCTTGGTCCAAAGGCAACTTGTTAATGTCTTGTCCATTGAGTGCAGAATATTTATAAATATAATTTTGGCTTGTTTGTGATATGTAATATAATATAGTTTTGTTTTTTGTTACATTATCTACCAGTTATGATGTTTGAGTAAAGCATGAAGTTTTTGATTATTTTCTCCATTTACTTAAGTGGCAATAAGTAATAACATGATTTAAAGGGGTTTAGCCTTGATTTTCACTTTCACCCCATGTCTGGGGTGTTGGTGGTGACATTGCAACCACAAATCATAAAAAAGATGGAAAGAAAAATAAAGAGATTTTTGCAATTTCTCTCCTGGAGAAGTTGAGATGAAATTAAGTGCATGGTTGGATACATGATACTCCCTCCAACTAACAATGATCTATCCTATAATGATATAATGATCGAGTTAGTTAACTAAATAAATGAGTATAAATGAGAAAGAAATTGATATTTTTACTAAAATATTTTAATATTCTCTCATATTTTATAATAAAAAAAACCACTTTTTAAATATATTTAATATTTAATGTATTTGGATTATATATAAGTCAAATATATTGATTATTTAATATATTCAAAAAATAATTTTTTTTATAATAAGAATCGGAGGAAATTTTAATTAAAGTATATAATATAATTAGAAATGATATATTGAAAATTAAAATAGGTCATTTTTTTTTAATATTCTTTATATTTCAAATAGACCACTTATTATGGGACGGAGAAAGTTCGTGCATTCTAAAAAAATAAGTGTTGTAGTTGACATTTTTACCTATATTAAAAAAATATAATAAAATAAAGAGAGAATAATGATTTCATCAAATTATCCTTATCAAGTATTGATGTATTTGAATTATCATTAATGCAAAGTAGTAAAAAAGTAAAATAAATTTATTAATTAAAATTTAAAATATGATACTTATTTTGAGAAGAAGGAAATAGTATTTTAGGAAAAATGCTAACAAATGTTTCAGAGAGATTAAAATGATAAGTTAAGCATTATTTAAGAGATTAAAAATATATATTTTTTAAAATACTTATATTTAATTACTGAAAATATAAATAATCAATTTTAACATAATATATTTTTTTTATTTAAAATTTTTAACGAGTGCGTCGTATTTTAATGAGTAATTTTGCTTTGAATTTTAATTTAGCTAGTAAAATTATATTTGACATTTTATGTCCCTACTAATAATTCATAGTGTTGGTTTTTCCAGATTATAAAGCTAGTTTATAGATAGTCATTGAATGAAAAATTTTGAGAGATATATAATAGTTCTTTTCTATATTAAAAACATAGATAGTAATGTTAATCAATTAGTTAAGAAATTGAAAAAATATTTTGTATATCCATCATAATAAACTAGTGAAAGACTTGCATTTGCACGGATAGCATAACAATGTATATTAAACAATAAGAATAGATCACTAATATATCAAATGTTTTAAAGATTTTACTTCAACACCAACCTAATATTACCATTTTTAATGCAAATCAAATCTAATTAACTGTCTTTATAAATACAATTTGCATTAACATTATACAGGTTATGTATTTGACATGCACGATAAAAATTATTGTAGTAAATTTGTCACCATATTCAAAAAATATTTTTTGATGAGAAATTAAAAAAAAAAAAGATCAAACTTGTTTTAACTTTGTAATATGTAAAAATAATAAATTTATTTTTTCAGTTTACATTTTAATCTCTTTAGATTATCTAAATTCTTAAAACACCATACAAGAAAATGAGTGGTGGATAAAAGTAGCCATCTCTTGTTCACACAAAAATCGTTGGTTAGTTGGCTACAGATACAAACATCCAACACTCATAACTGAATACAGGATTTGGGTGTCATTGTTAACACCCTGTTATTCCTTGTGCCCCTTATTTTAAATAAAATGTTCTATGCCGTACTTTAAAAATAAAAATAAAAAGTTCTGAATGTGCCTTACATTTTCTTAACCCTCAATTATTCATCGGTCGAAGGTGTACTTTTTGGGGTTTTGCGAGGAAGACTGTACATTCATTGGTTCGGCCTTTATTTTTTAATTTTTTTTATTTTAAAGAATTAAGTTAATTTTATCAATTAATATAAATAATAAATATAATATTTTAATAATAAAATAGTTTTTCTTTTTTGAATATTCTAATAATTTTTTTATTATTTTTAAAAATTAGTTATAATAACTAATTAATTTAATTTTCTTGAAATATGTTCTGGATTGTATTGGCACCTGCCCCACAACTGAGTAAGGCTCAATCCAGTCTAGTTTAAGTCCAGGCCCAATACGACTATAGGGTACAATATAGTCGTTGGACACAATATAGTCGTTGGACATAATATAGTCGTTTGAGCACATAGTCGTTGGGGACACGCCCCTCGCGCGCTTGACAATTCACGCGACCAACTGCCCTTCTGAAAGTCACGGAGACAGTTGGACCAAGACAAAGATCACGCGCTAGATATTCCACCTGGCAGTCCCCCATTGACCGACCATATATTTCGGTTACATGGAAGACCTTGACCTCACGCTGGAGAAAAAACTTATAAATACCCTATCTCTTGAGAGGGTCAGATATTCTAATCATTTTTGCTCATACCTATACATTCGTACTTGCTTTTTCTCTAACCCAAACACTTATTTTGGCATTGGAGTACCTTGCATGTACAACCCCCTCCTCTCCTACAACCATTGTTGTTGCCTTACATTGAAGGCCAAGACGATCCATTCTAATCACTCCAGATCAGTGACGCCGTCTGTGGGAAAACCAGCTCCCGCGTCTTTTTGAACCAAGATTTCTCAATCTTCCCAAACAAAAGACCAAAACTACCTCTCTGAACCTTCATCGTCATGGCCTCCCACCGTAATGACGTCTAACAAGATTCCTTCGTCGGCGTTATGAGTTGTGGCGAAACCCTCATTCTCAGAGTTGTCACCGGAGAAATTGATCGCAGGTACGAAAAACTAGAATCCCTGACAACGTGAAGCCTCATGTCCAAGATTCCGACCATGTATGGGGTCCTATCACCGTCCCACAAGATGGTGACCCTTGCACAACGGCCCTCATCGCCGCCCTCAACAAGTCCAACTATTTGCTCTTTCAACAAAGAGAAAAAAATCCACTTGCTGGAAAACACCACGAGCGACGAAGACAACGCAAGTGGTCCCCTGTCACAAGAAATCATGGACACCCGCATTCTACGCGGATTGGAGAAACCTCCCCCTTTAGCTCTCTATGATGGTACCACCGACCCTGGTGACCACATAGAAAACATTATGGCCATGATGCATTACCACAATGTCCCTGGAGCGATCAAATGCAGGTTATTCCCCACCGCCCTCAGGAAAGGGGCTATGACTTGGTACAAGAGCCTTCCTCGGGGCTCGATCGCGTCATGGAGGAGTCTTAAGGAGTAGTTTGCCCGAAACCTTACTACCTCCAGGCACCACCCGAAATCCGAAGCTACGCTTGAAGGTATCGTCCAGGGCAGGGACGAACCTCTGCGCAATTACGTCGACAAGTTCACAAAAGAAGCGGTCGGAATCCGTACAACCGACCACATGAAAAAGTATCTGCAAGATAAGGGATTGAGTTCGAAAAGCGAATTCCGCAAGGCAGTAGGACTCAAACCTCCTTGCTCTCTAGCCAAACTTCTCTGTCGGGCACAATCTTATATTCAATACGAAGAAAAGGAAGTCGTGTGTAAGGCTAGATACTCGAGGGACCAAGAGAGTTCCAGAGCATCGAAGAAAGACGAAGCAGAAACTTCCAGGCGAGACAAAGACAGGCGACGAGACGATCGTCCTCGAGATCACAAAGGTCCTGCAGGTCGATTCACCGAATACACCCTATTGACCTCTCCCCACGAGCATATTCTATCTGAATATATCAACACCAAATTCAAGCAAGGTGGCGTCTGATTCCTCAAGCCAACAGCTTCAAGAGCAATATCGGTCGAAACAAATACTGTTGCTTCCACCGCAGCCACATCCATGTAACAGAAGACTGCGTCCACTTGAAAGATGTTATTGAAATCCTCATCAAAGAGGGCCACCTAAAGCAGTATACGAAGAAAGAAGAATCCCCCCGAGGAGAAATGTCATAATCCAAGAAAGATACGAAAGCCTAATCTTTTAGCCCTCCCCCTCTGGTCGCCATGTCTATATCACGACTAGAGGACTTTTTCATCCCCAACGGGTTCGAAGGGTCTTCATATTTCTCTGCGCACAACCCTTGGGAGGCCTTCCATGGCACAATGGTTATTTCCTGCGGTGGATACAACGAACTCACAGTAGGATCAATATAGAGAAAAATCGAACAACTGATCGACTGTAGTCCAGACCGTCTATCAACACTCGAAAAATTCCGAGGATGATCCCAGCCAATCACTTCCTACCAAGAAGAGATCCCTGGAGGCTCCCCCAACTCTCACATCCTCTTCTTATCAGATCCATGCTAACCCACAGTGACGTCTGCCGAATCCTTGTCGATCAAGATAGTTCGGTAGACATCATGTACACCATCCTATTCCCCGCCCTCAAACTCGACCAGAAGAACCTGTCCCCATATGTTGGGTCAGATCTACAAGGATTCAACGGGGACACAGCTAGACCCTAGGGATACGTAGAGCTCCAAGTTACGTTCGAAGAAAAGGATGCTGCCAAAACAATTAAGACTCAGTTCTTAGTCATATACTGCCCCTCCTTATACCAATGCATCCTGGGGAGACCGGCACTCACCGAAGTAATTGTTGTCCCTTCCATAATTCATCTTAAGATGAAGTATTATACTAAAAAGGGGCATGTCGCCACTCTGCACGGGGATATCGAGGCCGCAAGATGATGCTTTGAAGTGGCTACGAAAGGGCAAAGTTCAATCAATGCAGCATCACAGAGCGTCAAACGGGCAAGAGATGAA